CCCCGGATGCACCCTGCTCTCTTCCTCTTTCCCACTCTTCTGTTGGCCTATGAGACACCATCCTATAAGGCAGCAACACGCTGCATGACATGAAGGTCCAGACATTGAGAGCTGACTACACATGCCTGTGCTCACCCACGGCAGGTACCCCCAGCTCTGCGTGATCAGGTACCGCAGTCCTCACTGCCTTCCTAATGATCAGGGGGCGGGGGAGTGGAACATTCTGCTGTGCTTCCCAGACAAGCTTTGGTGCTGGAAGAAGCTCACTTCACATCCATCTCACATTTCAAATACTCTTCTCTTCCTTCATCCAAAGAACTATTCTACATTATCACCTCCTGTCAGAGACCCCCCTCCTTTTCCTTCATTTACTCCCCTCCTCCCTGCCTCTCTCATTTTTTGCTCCCTCCTTCTCTTCTCCTGGTTTCCTGACTGTCCTCAGGTCAAAGAGCATCTTGAAAGAAAACTAACAACTGAGCTCCTCAAACAGCATTCTAGTTTAATCTGTTGCTGATTAAGAAATATAGGAAATATATAGAAAAACATCCGATAAGATATACAATCTACCTCCTTTTCTCCTCTTTTTTTCTCACTGTACGTTCAACAGGTGATTTTATTTGGCTGAGAGAATATATCCAAATTCATGTTTTAAATCAACATTCTGTCAAATGACTTTTTTATAAAATACAGTGCTTACTTTCTATTTGTCCATTTAATGTATTTTTTTCTCCTTGACCTGCAGCTCCAGATAACTGATCAACATGGTTTGGTAGTTGAATCTTGGAGGTACTCTGTTAAAATTAATATTAATAATGAGTTGCATAAAGATTTCCTAATCCCATTCTAAGAAAATACTTGTGTTTCCTACCTTATTATTATTATTTTTAATTTCCTACTTTAAAAGCAATTAGATTTAAAAGCAAGATAAGCATATCCTAGAAACCCAAACATTTAAATAGAAAATTTCATATACACTCTCTAGATCAAGTCTACCTTTTATCTTCAGTTGGCTTTTGACTCTGTAAACTGAGCATGGAAATCCAGAGCAAATATTTTCACAGACAAAATACTGACATGTGCAGATTTCAACAAAGAATTAACTTCAAAACACCTAATTCCATTTTGCATTCCTCAACAAAAGAAAAGGACTTTTTTTAAAAATACATATTTTTATATGTATAACTGAATTGCTTTTTTGTACACTTGAAACTAACATTATAAACTGACTACACTTCAATAAAAAATAAAATTAAAAATATACATATTTAAATATATTCTTTAATAAGTATACGTGCTATAAATTTAAAATGTTTCTTAGGGCAGGTATTGTCTTTAGTATTAAAATAACATACTTGGCATGAAAAGAAGCCTTGGAGTCTGTCATGTTGAATATTAACAGAACACTGTGGAAACTGCTACACTTCAGTAAACAAAGGCTTAGCAGAATCTATTATTTGATAAAACTTTTATTGATAGGAAAAATAGTTGAATAAGGTAGCAAAGTAGAAAGAAAAACATTTATGTTTAAATTAACAGTAGAAAAATTTTAAATGTAGTTATGCAGCTCTTCAAAAAAGTACCATAAGCTTTACTGTAATACAGGAAGAATAAGAATACTGTTTGTTGACCATCCACATGTGCCAGGCCCTTATCATGCACATTCTCTTCTCTACACACAACAACAATAAAAGTGATTCTAAGGACGGACCCACTTGCTGCTTCCTGGCCACTCCAAGATGCTGGAGTACCGTGATGAGCAGATGGGACCCACTGTTCTCTCTGTCCAGAACATCCCTCCCCTGGGCCTTCTTGTGACTGGCTCCTTCCTGTCCATCACCTGGCAGCTTTGGTCACACTCAGCTCTTTTCTGACTACCTGAATTCCACCCTTACTCCACCCCAGTCCTAACTACAAACTCCCCCACTGTTGTCTAACCTAACGCTCTCCACGTTCCTTATATGAAGGCCTTACTGTCCCTGATAAAGGGTTCCTGTTTACTTGTTCTTCTGTTCCTGCCACTACAGCCTAACCCCTCAGCTGCTACATTCAGTGTCTAACTGCCTGATGCATAGCTGGTGTTCAGGAACAGGAATTTATTTAAGGTCAAAACATCTAAAATCCCCAGAAGGCGTCAAGTACCAAAGCACTATATACCT